GAGAGAGAGAGAGAGAGAGAGAGAGAGAGAGAGAGAGAGCGTGTTTACTCGTTAAATCTAGAGAGCCTAGTTGAAAAGAGGCGTCAATTGATCACGTGACTCTGAATAAAAATACGTAAACATTATTTTAGGCATATTTCTCTCAGTTCTTTCTTACAACTTAGTTGATTCTTATGGATAGATCTTACTTATTACATAAAACCTATATATGTATCTTGAATTTCATGACTTGGAATAAATTCTTGCAACATGTTGGTGAGGAAAATCTAAATAAGAAAGAAATGCTAGTATCTTAAAAAGTTTACATTAAATATGTCTCGCGATCCCGCCAGATTTCTTATATCATATGAGGTGTTGGAGGTTCACATTCTGGGTATTCACATTCTGGTTATTAAGCGAGTTGGCGATGGTAATACTGGATTGAACATTGGTGATTTGAACGAAGAAACGGGCAGAACAAAGATTAAGAACTAGGATAAAGATTAAAAATTAAGAACTGAAAAAAAGAACCGAAAAAGAACCATAAAATTTTACCAGTTCAGTTACAGTTTTGGTATTATAAACTATACAAAATTTGTATAGTTTCGGTTTCGGTTCACTAAAAAAAAGGGTTCCGAAACGATTTTCGGTTCCGATTTCGATTCAGTCCAGGTCCCTGATCCGAATTGTCTCGGATCGGACAGCTATCGCTCGCAAGCTCGACCTCTTGCGTCAACGCTAAGACGTGTGCCAGCTGATTCATGCCACCTGCTTTTCTCGTTGAATGAGGAACGACGGGCGATAAATGTCACGTATGTGGCACGAGAAATTGTGCGAACATTTTACATCCCATATATTGCGTCCTGCGCGTAATTCCATCTGTCATCATTTTTTCTGATTGAAGAATTTATCACGAAGTTTCAGTTCAATATGTCAATACATCTCAGTTGAAACTCTCTATTAGAATTCAAACGCGATGATTTTTCAGGAATACATAATATTTGTGAATTTTTTAAATATAATCTTTATTTTACACAAGTTTATTTTTTTTAATCTAATTCTCTTCCGAGGGGGTAACCACTTAATGTAATCGTGGGACAGAATTCTCGAAATCATTATAAAATTTATATAAAATCTATATGTATAATCCAATAATTACATATACAACCACGAGAAATCATTCTATAATATTAAATAAAATCGTATATTTTACCAAATTACTTCATAGTAGTGAAAAAAATTATTTGTAATCAAATAAAATCATGTAATCTGTGAGACAATATTTCAGCTAGTGGTTACCCACTCGTTCTCTTCGTGCAGTCACTTTCAAATAAAGTTGGCAAAAATCAAATTGCATTCATACTAATCCAGTTTATTATTAGTTGTGTGAGGCTGTTTTCCTTTTCACACGTTTTAGGCTTTACATAAACGGCCCGTTGGCTTTACTTTTGCTCCCACCTCTTTTTATCGTTTATAAAATAAATTTCACTTTCCTCTTTTTTTAAAGCATGTTTACTGTACGGCGCGCCGCTGTTATTCGCAGCCCTACAAATTGTTAATACTAAAAATAGCGTATACGTCATATCAAGCAGAAGGACAGGATGATGCGTTGTTGCCCCAAATTCCGCGGTATTATAGGTTGTTTGCGTTCACATATCTCGAGGAAGCACTCATTCTGGAGTAGCTTATAACTTACACGATATACACGTCATTTCATTGATTTAAATGAATTTATCATCGTTATAGAGATTTCCTCGCTCATCGTCCCGACTTCGATATCAAAACAATGCTAAATTTAATTGGTAATTAAATCTACTCTCTCTAAAACTTTTAGAGTGAATTGTCACTTTAAAATCTCACTCTTAAAGATTGAAAATTGGATCATTCTTTTTCAAGACTGGCTCAATTTTCACTCTTCAGAATGAGATTTTACTGCAAAGAATTTAGAGAGTATATAATCAAAATTTCATTAACATCATCGTGCTAAGATTCAACGTTACTAAGCACAATTTTAGAGAACACGATTAACCACAAGAGCGTATCCAATCACGTGTCTGACACGCATCTCGTCTTGCAGACATTTATCAACGCCTCTCTAACATCGTAAACTGATTTATTGGACGCGATTAATAGCCAGTCCCTAATAACCGTTCAATTGCGGCGCCTATGATAACGGTAAGTCGCAATAAGCGCGTCCGATTAATTTATAGCAATGAAGTGTATCGATTTTGCGAGTGTCAGTGCAATCTACGCGTTTATGATGATGGCACGCTATTCTATATAAATATACGTTCTTAACTCCACTAACTTACGTATTTCATCGATACATTAAAAACCGGAAAAATCATGGCATTTCTCTTCTTTTACACGTCTACGTGTAGATATTGTGTGTGTGCGTGTGAATAAAATAATAAAAAAGTAAAAATAATAATAATAATATAATAAAAAGACGTGGAATAAAACGAAATACATCATTTTTCTCTACTTGATACGTACAGGGTGTTACAGATACATACTAGACAGTACGACGGGTTGCGTGGTAAACTTTGCATGAGCAGACGCGGTTTTATAGACAATGACAGTGACTTTATAACATAAACTTTATAATATAAATAATAAAACTTTGTAGTATAATCTTTATAATGTATAAAGTCACTGTCATTGTCTATTAAACCATACTAAGCCATGCAAAGTTTGCCGCGCAACCCGTCGTACTGCCTAGTATGTATCTGCAACACTCTGTACAATTTTTCTCTATAACCAACACGCGTATAATTTTTTTTCTAATGATGTTTTCTCGATATAAATAATATTGTTTAAAGTTTTGTCGGAACTCGTGTTATTCTGTCGTGTTTATTCCGTGTCAATACGGTTTAATACATAAACCATGCTCGACAATCAAATGCCAGCGCTGCATACGCTGTAAGTAAATATAGCGATGACAATCTGCATGCTCCGTATTTGATTTCATTGTAAACGGATCTATGCCACGAGACTCCCGTATTAGTTTTAAGGAGATCTCTCCGATAATTAATTAAATTCTGTGGTTATGCTCCAGTCGATCGTATGCTCCGCGATACCGAAATCTCACTAACACGTAGAACAGATTGTTCTCGTCGTCGCAATCGTAAGAACGGGATAATCGTTCAATTATCGTCGTGGGACACTCGTTAGCACTTGCCAACTGATGACTATCAGAAAATTGCAGACACGCTTGGCACCGCACTTTGCTGCCGGTATCGCGATACCGATCTCTCCGAGAAGTGAATTACATGCGGGCGGCGTCGGGGATTACGTCGTGATGTTGACGCATACGCGATTATGAAACTAACGTGTGTCGCGCACATTCTCTTCTGAAATAATCAACTCCCGTCCGTAGATTAACAGACGCTTTTGGCGAAATAAATGCGTTTGTCGAAACTCTTCTCTAATAACACTTTATCCGGGATACATCCTGAAGATGTCCTCAGGGCGTCCCCTGGAGGTCTGTGTTGTTAGGGTTTTCATCAATCAGTTTTCATCAATTAATTTTCATCTATCATAAAATAAACTTTGAGTTGGGTGTAGCCAGGATTCTCTGTTTAGGAAAGAAGATCAAATTAGAGTTGTGATTTTTAATTTGGGGGAGGAGAGTCGAATAGCATGGATTTGTTTTGTTTTATATTATTATTTTTGATTAATTATTGGCGAGAGAGAGAGTATACAAAATAATACATATTTATTTTACTAATTTACTTAATTTTTCTCTTAAATTTGTAAACTAATTGTTCGAACTAAAAAAACTTAAGCTTGTAACATTATAAGCCGTCTTGGATTCTCAAAAAATCTTTTTATAATTTTCATCGCTAACTCTTTCTTCTTTTCCAAAATTAATTTCTTGTGAATTTCTTCTTAAGTCTAGTCTGTTTAAACAGTAAAGTTTTAATTATTTTTGTTCTTTGAGATTTGAAAGGCCCCCTCTGCTCCATTTCCTTTGGCTACGTCTATGAATTTTGGCTCAATCGAAATAACTTTAGACAAAATTTACAAAAATGAACTAAAGTTCGATAAGTGGCTAAAAAATATAAATATAAACAATGCTTAGAGCACACATATCGAAAATCAAGACATAGAGTACACGAAATTTAAAACATTTTTAAAACATTTTTTAACGTCTTAAGTCCTGATTTTGATATGCATACTTGGATATTATTTCAGCCAAAGTTACCCTATTTTATGGTGCTTTTAACGTCAATTTTTTAAATATTTCCACACATCTCACGAATGCATAACGAGAAATCCCTCATTGTGAGATCTCGACGTCGCAATTAATCTTCAAAACTGCCAGGCCACGACATCCTTGATAAGCATCGCGATAATAGTTAGTATTTTACCTCACGGAGTCAGAGCCCGACCTACATCTTGTACGTTTGATAACCGACCTTTTCATTAACACGGGATTAGCGCGAGATTTATTCGCGCCGCAGTTCGTCCATCAAAAGATGTTTACTTTCCGTCGCGACGCGCGTCGAGGAAGATTATTAATACGGTCGCTTGAAGTAGAACAGAATCGTCAGATGGAACTTAGTCGCCGTTTTGTTTTGATGATGCAACTGCACCGTGAGAGCTTTAATTGCGACCGTAAATTTTACCGCTGTCGACTCTGCATGCAGCGGCAGAAGAGTCAACAAAAGAGGCATAGATTAAAAATTAATACCGATTCAGCTTGGAAAAGCACGATCTTTCAAAAGGAAAAAACTTTTACACACATTCGATGGAAGCGAATCTTTGTGCTTAATAATATTTCTACATTGAGAGCTAAATTTTAATATAATAAATGTAAACATATATTTATTTGGTACAAAAACCATTAATTTGATTTTAACTATTATATTTTTTATTTATCAAATATTTACTTCCCTTAAATAAATGTTATATTAAAACTATGTAACAATTATTTATTAAAATTTTATACATTTTTCTCTCTTTAAATTTTTAGATACATTCCCGAGTTCTATGAACTGCGCGCCGATTCAATTTATCGGACTCCAAATACAATTATAAGCTAAAGCTGAAAATAATATCACAATTCACTTTAATTGTCAATCTAATAATGATGTTAATAAGGATTTAAAAAAACTTTTTACGGTGTTTTAAAATGATTATTAATATCATTGGGTTGACAATCAATGTGATATGTGATATTTCCACTTTCCAGCTTCAATTTATGATCGCATCCAATAAAGTCCGATAAATCAAATTAATGTGCAGTTTATATAACTAAAAATTCGATTTGAAAATTTACATAAAAGTATTATTAAGCATCAAATTTTGCTTCGACCGAATATAGGATTCTTTTTATTATTCATTTTCATTTTCCAATCCATTTTCCGTTATTTTTTCTAAAGAAGAAATATAAAAGATATTTAATCATTAATACGTTTTTATCGATTATTATTTCAGGTGAAAAGAGTGGAATTATTGAGTGCATTTTATTAAAACTAAAATCAACCTGATTTATCTTTTAAACACTATCGAAATAAAATTCTTTCCATGAAATAAGCGTTTTAATAATTTAGTTTATTGTTTGTTGTGTGGAAGAAATATATATAAAAGTTTTGCAAAACACTCATTGCATGCACATTTGTACCAAGAAGGCGAAATGTAGCACAGATAGAATATTGATTTTCAAAACGTTCTAAAAATTTTCGTATTTATCGCATGAGATGGAAATAAGTCCGCTCACATTACACGTGCATGAGACGTCAAGAAATATTTGAAATACGTTTGTGATACGCTCCATTTCACCAAGGTGACATTCCATCGAGTGTCCGTAGATAAGAAACAATGCCAGATCGTATCTCAAATTTTTACTTTGCAAAGCCTAGAGGCATATTTTTTACCCGTCATCGCCGCAGTTTCTGAAGCAATCACGGAAAAAATAGATTGGGTAGTTCAGCAAAGCTATAGCTTGCTGGGCGGGTTCAACATCTATAACTAAGATTTGATGGTTCAACAAAGGAATTATGTTTGTAAGCAATTATCAGTATGCTAATTCAGCCAGTTCTTTGTTACAATGAAAATTGCTAATGTGACATGTTTTCTTCCTTACTGCAGCAAAAGTACGTGTCATAGCTAGCACGTTTTGTTAAAAATTTCGGATATTGGATTTCATAGAAAATTACCTTTGCTGCATTAACAAATTTACTGTATTTTACAATACCTAGAAGTAATCATATTTTGCTAATTACATTTAGCTATACAACTTTGTTTCTTTAACATAAAAACTGGCTTATACACGGTTGTAGATTTGTCAAATCAATGAAGTTTTTACAAATCTGTGATTGAAAGTACCGCAAGAAAATATTAATAAATGATATTTTAAAAATTATATCTCCTTTAAAAGTTTTTTTAACTGAAATTTGATGTCTTCTGTCAAAGAATTTATCATTAAAATTAAGATTTTTATAGCATTTGGCAAGGACAATTATACGTGTAAAATTTTGCACTGACATCTTCCCGCTGCAGTCATCGTTCATCGCAATCTTATAGTATGACTTACAGCTCCGCAAGATGGTTACAATTTAACGCGTATTTATGGAGAAGTCAACACTATTAATATGCAAGTTGGAATATTACCATATATATGAGCAATCGATGCAGAGCAACAAGACCGCGGCTTGTTATTAGAGTTAAGAAGTTTGAGGGGGCAAACGGGTGTGCGAGTTTCGAAATATGTCACAACACATCGTCAGCATTGTAAGAGAAAAGTTCATATCTGTGATTATAATGTATGGTGACATTACTCTGTAAATTCTTTGAAGTAGAATCTTAGTCTAGAGCCAGTCTTGAAAAAGAGTAGCTCAATCTTTTCAATCTTTAAGACTGAGATTTATTCTAAAAACAGTTTTAGAGAGCACATTATATATATATGTATTGTAACATTATACATATTATCATTACTGTTACAATGTTAGTAATAATAACTATAAGTACAGTTTTATTAACAAATATGTGTATATATAATAAGTACTGAAAATGATTATAAATCATAGTTAAATTATAATATTTACAATATTTTTATGGTAATATAACTATAAATTTAAGTCATTTTCACCCACCTCTATATATTTGTTGATAAAACTATTAATATTATAACAATAATGATCATAATATTATGGTAACACAAACACTCACCTAGTAACCCCCACACTAACCTTACAATCATAAATGCCAAAATTCTTTCTATTCTTTCAGTGTATGAATTTCTCGACACTTTTTCAGCAAATGAGAATTTGACTCTATTATTTTTTTTCATTTTATTTTATTCTTTTTTTTCCTGTTTTTTTCGTACTTATCGTACGAAGCGCACACGCTCGCTCTTTTCGACTTAATCGCTGCGAGATACTGGTTGCATAGAATTACAAGCTCGTCGCGGTATAAATTGCCCTGCTAAGAATGCGACTTGATGAGGTTCTTCTTAGGCTTATAGAGATAATACTAGCATCGAATGAACTATAAAAAAAGAGAGACGCAGTTGAGAAAAAAATCTTAATTTTAATCGATCTTATTGTAGCAAAAATCAATAGAATGTAAAAGATAAATAAGAATCTATTCGATTTCTATTTATTGTGGTATTATATCTCGCGGTAAGTTCTGATCACGATAGATTGAAGCGTCGTCTTCTCTGGATTTGTACATTGATACAATTTGCGGATTAGACCGATAACAACAGACAGATCGCTATTTAAGTGCCTGCTGCTATTCCGATCGTGCAGGTCGCGACATCGGGATATCAAACTCGCGCGTTCACACTTGTCAAAGTTCGTCGGCGGATAATTCTCATCGTATGCATGTACCCCGCATTTTTTCTTGTCGCTGACTTCATCGTTAACATCAAACGATTCTAAGAACGACCAATTTTTATTAATTTTCTTCTTTTGCGTTAAACTGAAAGAATGCATCGCGAATCATTTAATCGAACGAAACTATTCAATTGTTCAAATGTGATTTTAAGATTTGTATTAGTACGGATTAAAATCCAAATCGTTAGCATTAAAAAAAAATCTTAAATTCTATTCATCAAATTCTATTCAATAATTTAATAAAGATTTAATATTCTCTATTCATTAAGTTCTGAAATTTGAATTTTTAAAGTAAATGTTATAATTGTATAGTTTATTCCTGATATTTTTAGATAACGAGAATAATAATATAACAAGAATTTATATCAAGATAAAAAATTTTTAACAAAAATTTATTATAAGCAAAATTTTATTTTATCAGGCGATTTTTTATTCATTCATAGCAAAGTAAAATTTTACTTTTCTATAGCAATTGTTTTGATTAAAATAGGTTAAACGCACATATGCACGCGATAAATCTTCTGTTTTTATCACCAGAATCTTTGAGAAAAAAGATGGCGGAGAAGTAAATCGTTTATTCGCATTCCTTTCACGACATATTGACGAATGGCATCAGCGACTGATAGCAATTTGATAAGATATTTAAATTCGTGTCTCTATTCATCAGTCGTGACAGAGAGATAAAACTGGCGACCGTGAATGAAAGTGAGAGACGAATACAATTAGCATTTCATCTTGAAACTCGGTTATCACCAATTTGTCTGATAAGAACAATTCATCGGTCACGTGTGTGTGCGTTGTAGTAAATTTAATTTCAGACATCGAAATTCAGAAATTGTGGTTTTAAATATTCAATCTTTCATGTTAAAAATCTTAAGAGAAAAATGATAATTATTTGTATTCAATTTTCACCATTTATTATCGTAATAATTTGCGACTTAATGATTTCAGTTTCTGCGTGAAACTCGTGAGACTTACAGTTGACAGCTATTTACACTTCGACAAATTTGAACGATCTCTCACTTGTCAGGATGGCGTTCACTCTCGGGGAAAATCGGTGAAAAAGAAAATCAATCGTGCCTTTTACAGCACCTTTTACAGATCGTTCAACAATCTTACACCACTTACTCGAGAATGGCGAGATTCAGTCTGGTCCAAATCGAGGACTATCTTCTTCGGCGACTGTCGGTTCGCATGTACCTTGTGCGGTCGAGAACGATTGTGACGATTGTGATGAGTAGAGGAAGAGAAGAAAGAAAGAAAAAAAAATAAAAAAATAATAATTGTATTCAACGGGAAGAACTCGGCTGATCGAGACGTGGGATCACCTCGCGATCGAGGAAGATCACGGGAAAGAGAGAAAGAGAACACAGCCGGTGCTGGCGGCTCGAAAGCGCGAGCCTAACTGACCCGCGGAGACGAGAGGTAAACGCAAGCTAAACTAAGTCTCGGTATCACAATTCGGTTCGAACCGCCACGCGAAGGAGCGGAGAGCAGCGGCACGGTCGAGCGACATGTATGAGACACGATCGGCATGGTCTACCACCCACCGGATCTCCTTGCCGCGCGGCGTCTTCTTCCGTCGTTCCCCGTCATCGCCAGGATGACGAAGGCGCGGAATGACGACGGCCGTCGAAGGCGGGAAGGCAAACCCGCGAAC